TGATGACTTGTGACCTGAATTAGACTTGCAAAATATGACTTGCTGCCACCTCTGTTTGTTCATACCATTCAGGGACATGAATGCATTGATTTGCATTTGGTGCAAGTGAAATCTTCCTGCAACCTTGCTTCGCAGTCTTTTTGGCAGGAAGTTCCTATGACCTGAAATGTTTGACTTATCACTTGTGCTTCAGTGCGTAACAAGTATCCGCTCTTATATTCTGCCCAGCAAATCTGCACCCAAATCTCTAGTGGGATTCAGTAAAATTTATTTGGCATTTTAATATTACAGTGACTTTAAAGATCATTTACCTGTGTCGTTAATTAGTCGTCGCAACCTGTCTTCGTTCCTTCATGCAGGCGACGGTGTTAACTGTACTCGTGATCTGAATGAATGCGTCTGTAGAGGTGAAACTTGCACCTGTTTCAAGGGTTTTACCGGCATCGATTGTGCAAGTATGTACTCCTAGAGCATTTATATAAAGTATTCTTTAAACATGCCAGCATGGTAGATTACGTTGCTTGGAGGAAACAGAGAAAACGAGGGAAACCCTCGCCCTGTTCGTAGTTGATAAACCCTTGTGCATGCTAAACAATGGATTTTCTCCAAATGACGCAATCAGTATTCAGAATTTGCATCTTGGCGTGAACAGAAAAAAGCCCTTTTTAGCTTGTTATAGTTGAGCTCTGAAGATAAATGACACTGCGTTCAATTTGGATGCTTCCATATTTATTTGAACAGATAAAATCAGAGAAAATGTGTTTTCCTTAGAGGTGCTCTTTAAGCCACTGGACCCCTTGTAGGAAGCAAATGCCTAAGTTTGACATGTGGTGGGGGAAATTGCTCCAGTTGCATTCTATGTGCAGAGGAGAAATCCCCTAAAGCCACATGACACCCCTCCCCTCAAGTTGGTTACACAACTGTGGTTAAATAGTGTATAACTTCTTCACAAACCTTTCTTGGGACCATTATCACCTCTGATTTGAAATGTTGATCCAAGGATTCAAGAAGATTTGAGGTTGGATTGAGGATTTAGAACACAAACTCACAATATATATGCAATGATGATTTATTGACAGTCGAAGATGGAACCGTGTGCACCGGTCCCAGCACCCCATCCGATGGTTGTGGCAATACTTGCCCTGCTGTCTCCTGTCGTTGTGAACGGGGCTGGGAGGGACCGTCATGCAACTTTGGTAAGAAGTTTTATCACGGGCAAGTTTTCTCCTAATGGAGTGGGTGCGTTCATGTGTGGAAAGTTAGATGGCATGTCAAACTGGGACTTTAACTTTTGAATTTACATCAAGGGATAGTTTTTACTGCGTTACTTACCCGTTCCAGAGTAAATCCAAGTAATTAAGATCCTAATTGTCTTTTTTTAACATTTGGTCATGGCCTGAAATGTTAAAATAGGCAATTTGGGGGGTTCTAATTAGCCTGTTTTTCAACTTGCCATTTTCCATGTGCTATGATGTATGGCCTAGTAATAGGAACGAGTAACATAGAGGTATAAGTCCGATCCCCCAAAGCAAATTCAGAACTGAATGGGGGGAATTTGTTTTCATGGGCCCAAAATTGGGATTTTTTTGGCCTTTCTGAGGGCTGAGGCTACATTTTGGAGCTTTTCACAGACTGTTGGAAGGAGGGTTTCGCTGTTCAATATTTTAAAATGGCCCTGGGGGGAGGACACAGGCCCTGCTGCCCCCATATCTGCCCCCTCCCTGAATCGCCATCCATGCTTGCTAAGCTTGCTTTTGTTTAAGAGAAACTTTTCTGTTGTGCTAACTTGAATTCAATCCTTTTATTATCCGATAACTGTACCCAAAACCTTCCTGAATGTGCACTTTACAGCCTACTCGAGACAATTCCACAAGACTCTAGGCTACAGCCCTTGTTTCGTTTCATCAGTGACTCTTTATCTGTTGGTTTCTATTGTGTTTGTTTGTTTGTTTGTTTGTTTGTTTTACAGTTGACGATGGGAGTTCATGCTTTTCAGGTGTTGGTAGTCCTCCACACTGTGAGGAATGTTTCATTGGGGATTCACCGCCGTGTATTTGTGAGAAAGGGTGGCAAGGCATACGATGTGAAAACGGTAATATTT